TGGGCAGAATTGTTTTCCATCCTCACTTCAGATACAAACAAAATAAAATTAATTACATCATTTTTCTTCTTACTGTACAAGAACCAGCCATGCAAGTGTCCCCCGAGTATGCAGAAAATAATGTTTTCCCACATTCAAGAATCACTGCCAGTTTGAGTTTGAAAAGGAAGTATTTTCAGGTATACATTTAATTGTTCAATAATTAGGTGCCAATCAGTGAAATAATAAATTTTTCTTTTAATTTTACAGCATGTTGTGTAATCAAGAACTTTTATATGTAATAGTCTCTCAAACCGTGATATTTTATAAAAATACTCAAATACAAAAATCATTAATGCATTTATACAAAAAGCAGGAAGAGGCAAAAGTACTCTAGGTGATAGAATAGTGCTGTCTTCCATGTGTGATTACTCCAGCAATTGCAGGGAAAGGGCACTGGTGACCTCCTGCTCTGCTGAATATATTCAATGATTTGATGCAGATAATAGCTCTGTGGGTATATGCATATACATAAATTCATCAAGATTTACTTCTGAGGGCTTTGTTCAGGGTAGGTAATAGTATATTATGTTTTCAAGAGTAGAAAGTAGAAAGTGAAAACCCTTTTTTTCATGGCCTTCTTAATCATTAACATAAGCATTTCATGTTTGTACAAATATAAGTTAATGTAAAAATTATTGAATGTAACTATAAATCCATGTGTATTTGACTTGATTTGTCACTAATAACTTCTGAAAATTTTTAGCTATTTATCATTTACATATAAAAAAATCACATTTTCTATATCAAAAATCTTGTGAGCTAATAATAGCCATTAATTCACACACAATGTAAAATGAGACATAGAGATGAAATTCCATTCAGTTTGAAGTCAGAAAGTAGGGACACCTTCTTAGAAAATGAATTTTGATGATGGTTAGAACTTGTACAAAAATGCCCTCACTAGTTTCTAAGTCCTATGAGAGCAGGGCATTATCCAACCGGTATTCCTTACACTTAGTGTGTGCTATATAGTAGGTGCTCAATAAATATTTGTTAAAATATGAAATAATCAACCTTTCCATTGCTGCTACAATTCGTGAATATTTCAGGCACTTTGTGATTCAAAGGGTAGTTTCACGGTGCTTAAGGCAACTACAGTTCATCATGAATCCAAGGGGTAGAGATTTGGGATTGTCACAAGTGAACAGTCTTGAAAAACCTTCCCTTCTTTCCAAATCAGGATAAAGACAAAGAGGTCAACTTTTCCCCACCCTCCCCTCCCAACATCCCAATTTCAAGCAAAACGGAAAACAAAGTAAAGCAAAACAGAACTCCCCCACGTTCCTAATTTCCAAAGCCCAGAAAGTCCGGCCCTTCCCCCCACCTCCTCGGGAGCCCAGACTCCACTTTCTGAGGCAATGGAGGCGTCCCGGGGCGAAGCGTTTTCGGAGCCCTACTCTCCCACGGTCCCGCTTCCAGCACCCCTTGGTTTGTCACCTGTGGCTTGGCCGGCTCCAGAAACCGAATTTTCTTGTTGCAGCGACCAAGATTGTGTAATGTAATCGGGAGGCGGTACACTCTCCCCGCCAGCGCGTCACAGAACTTCATCTCTAAGGGAGTCACCCGTAGCTGAACTTCTGCCTTCAGGCTGACTGCGTCCCACGGGACGAAGGACGCCCTCGGGGAGTCCATGGCTGTCCTAGCCGGCGAAATGTTTCCGACTCAACCCAACCAGGACCAGCCAGGACTAGTTCGGCCGGTTTACTATTGCTAGGCAACGGTCGGACGCGGCAACTTCCGGAAGCCTGCGCATGCGCGTTAGCCCTGCCTCCGGGGGCTGGGCCGGGGCTGCGCGAGTTGGGACTCCTACGGAAGCTGCAGTGTCTAGCGGGAGAACC